GTATGCTTGATAACCTTTCATTTGAATAAATAAAACCTTTTTTGTTCCTTCTGCTTTTTTTAAAGTATGTGCTGTATGTGTGTGCTCACTCATCACCTCAGCATAGTGCAGAGCTGCCTGTGCCCAGACTTTGTTGGATCAACCTGCTCTGAACTCTTTGGCAGAGTCAAACAAAAGCTCATTCTTGATATTGACACATGAATGTTTGCTTTGCAATCTTATTCTTGTTGAGATGCTGAAGTTCCTGAAACCGAGGTATACAAACCTTAAGCGCTTCAATTACACTTCCCTTCCCTTTGGCCTACCCTCTTTTCTCCCCAGTAATGCAGGCCCAATTATTTTCTCCATCAAAAGAGGAATTAGTGTTCATTTTGAGATTTGCATTTGCTAGGTGTGTATCGTCAAAGCGTGTACAAGCCTGAATGTTTTGAGTAAAAAGTTGAACTGGGTGCATTTTGTTTGGGATGAAAACCCTGAAGCCACAATAACACACGTGTTGCTTCTTCAGGCAAACACCAGTTTTGTTTCCTTTTTTATGCATCAAATCATATGTTTTGTTTTCTCTTTGGTCAACTTATTTTTATTTATTTATTTATTTTTTGCAGCTTTGAAGGTCTTTACTGTTCAACTGAAACTTGTCTTTATACAAACCTTCTTTCCATCTCTTTACGCCATGGCATCATTACGTTGGCTTCTCTGAGTCTAATTTTCTAAACTTTTGCTTAAGCCTGTGCCAAATCCAAGTTTATTTATATATTTTTTATTCATTTTACACCATAACTTTGTTGAGAAAAGTTCAGAAGAAACTATTTTTCTTGTTCTCATCCACTGAAAGGTCTACGGTGTGTAAATCCTCTTTCTACAGGTTTGCATGCACTGAGGCGAGCACTGAGAGCTTCCCACCAACCATCAGACCAGCAGCTGATGGGGACGCTGACGGTCACTCTACAGGACCTCCAGTGGGCCCTGTCTGTTGTGAAGCCCAGTGCCATGAGGGAGGTTGCTATCGATGTTCCCAAGGTAAGATCTCTCAGTAGCCAATCCCTCCCCTTCATTCACTCGTACTTTCTGCTCATTTGTGTACGATTCCTCTCAATCCTTTTAGAATAGCTGGAAAGCTGTCAGCATTGTTTTCAGTGTGGTTGGTTAATGTTGGCATCTTCATGTCAAAGATGCAGATCTCAGATCTAAAGTCAAGAGACTGACTTCTAAAGGTTTGGCGAAGCAAACGAAATAGCAAACAACAGTCTTACCTTTAAGCCTGGACTTGATGGTACAGTACAGCGAGTCTAGATCAGAAGACCTGAGACAGTTGCTGGTGAAATATTGTGGCAATATCAAAACAACATAGAGACTTAACAGGGAGCCAGTGTAAAGAAACTTTGTGACGGCATGTGGCCAATACAGAGATGTCTTGCTAAGGTAAGTGAATAAGGAGTTAAAGAGCAAAGGGTGAATGGTTGCTTCTAACTCAAATTGAGATATAACCAGTCTGTTTGTAGCACTACAAGGTGAAGAGGAAAGAAAGAACAGTTGGTTACATGGATTGTAGTTTGTGGCATGTTTAATACAACTATCAGATCCTGTGTTTGTAATCGGAGTTAGTTGCATCTCAGTGGCATTCAGACTAGCAGTGCCCCTAGACAGAAGCAGATTGGTTTACATCATGCCATCTTTGATTCATTTACAGCACAAAACAAATTTAAAACCAAAAAAATGTCAGCATATATTGCCAAAAGGAAAAACTAAAAGCTCATCAGCAGCAGCCGTGCCTCCCTTCTCTGCTCAAATGCACATTCAGAACGTCCCTTAACTACTCTTTGGACCAGTGAATCACCAGCACTTAAAGGATGGGGTCAGGCTGAGGAAGAGTGGAAATGACCCTGTGGCCATTTTTACCCTCCACTGCAATGAAGATGAATCACTTTGCTTTCAGTGAATGGAGGGGGAAGTGGGAGGGAGGGGAAGGAAAGATGAGAGGACAGTGGTGAGACTTCAGGATGTTTTGGACTTTGCATGTGCAAGACATAACGGACAGGAAGAGGGCTAACATCATCCCCTACCGGTAATTGAAAGCAGATTGGGTCATTGGCGGTTATTGCCAGCAACCAAAAAGGAGAAACAGGAGAAGAAGGAGAAACGTCCTTCCTATCCCTTCACCCCCTCCCGCCTCCCCTGTTCTCTCTCAGTGCTCTGTACTGAACTCACCCAGTGGTGTTCAGTCCTTGCGGCTGGTTCCTGGAAACAAGAGAGTTTAGTTTGTGTGTATTTTTTTCGGACTTGATTATATCCACATGAGTGCAAACATTTGTTTCTAATCTATTTTATATAAGAAACTTCCAGTGGTGCCGGATGAATGAACTCGAGTTCCTCGGGAACCTTCTCAGATCACGTATCTAGAGATTTGAATTTTACAGTTTATAGCTCTCAATTTACATTATATTTACATGTAAAGAACCCTGAAAGTACATTCTTAATCCTTTGTATTGTGACAAGATATTCTTCCTTATTTTAACATCTCTCGTTTACCCAACTGGTTTTTTCTTTCTTTCTTTTTTTTTTATGGTCATCACTCACCCTGCAGTCTGGCTTTAATATTTTCATTTGGCAGCTGTGTATGTAACAAGCCCATTTATTTCTCCTTTTACATTTTCTCTCTGTCTCCCCCTTTTTTTGTCTGAGAAGTCCCCCACACCCCCTTTCCACCCCATCAAAGGGCCAGAGCCTGACAGGCCCTTTTGTAAAGTTCACAAAACAACAGTAAAAGATAATAACTGAGAGAGAAGAAGGGGGAAGACACAGCGCTTGAGGTGTCTGCGGACACCTAACCAAAAATGCTACAAGAGAGGGGAAGATGAGACTTGGCAGTGTTGTATTTCAGCTCAAAGTTCATTAACTTACTTGCTCTGGAGCTTTCAGCTGTTATCATACTGGACTGTCTTAGGATGTCAGTACCTTAGCCTTCACCAGCCCTGGGATCCTTCTGTTCAAAATCCAAGCTGCAACATTTGTAGTGGTGCATTACACCATTCTGCTAAACTGGGTGTTGATATTATTCCAAAAGAGTTGAACTTTAAATGGGGTTTAGCATCTTATACTTCATAAAATACTGGCCTCTGTAGGGTCAGACAGACCTTCTGTTTATAACACGTCTCTTGTGATTCTGTTCTCTTGGCTTTTCCTTGTTTCTTCATCAATACTTGTCTGCTCTCGCTCGCCTGGTTCCTCCATTTCTGTCTATTTCTTTTATCTCACTCCACTCTTTATTTCATTTTATTCCTCTCTAGGCCTTCAAATAAGCACTCTGGTACGCTCGCCTGCTTCCGGCCTATCTCCTCATCTCCACACCACTCCCCCCCCCCATCTCTTCTCTTCTCTCCCCCTCTCCCCTCCGTCTGTCCTTTCCGCTCTCTGGCTCAGCACTCTCCATAAATTGTTCGGTATTTCTGTGGCTAGACGCCAGGTTTCCATTAGGTGCTTCGTTCCCCAGAGACGGCGCCGGTGGCCTGGGATGTGTTACCTCTGGATGAAGAGTGGGGGGAGTATGTGTGACAGAGAGGAGGAAGTCAGAGTGAGAAAGGGAGAGGGGCAAGCAGCGGTATTACATGGAGAGAGTGAAAGATGGCATGATAGTGAGAGAGGAAAGAAAGGCAGTGCAGTGGAGATAAGACACAGGAGGATGTGGGGAATGTAGAAGGTAGGAAAGTGGAGGAACACTGCATTTATATCCACTCACTTTAAGTAACCTGGTAGCTGTTTGCAGTAATTTGATTAGGGAACTGCAACTGAGGATTATTTTGCCAACTAATCATTTATTCTACAAGATGTTAGAACACGACGATGCCTATCAGAGCTCATGGTGACGTGTTCAGATATGTTTGTTTGTCCAACAGTCCAAAACCCAAAGAGATTCACTTTGCATTGACATGTTTTAGCTTCAACCAGCAAATCCTCATTTTTTAGGAAATGGAACTAGAAAGTTTTTGATGTCATCTTCTCACCAAACAACATATGGAAATGATCAAACATCAAGATTAATGGTGATTTTTTTTTTCTTTGAGCAACTAATGGATTAATCAGCAACTCATTTTAGCACTAAATTTGATTTCTTTAATGAGATGTGGTTTGAATGACCTGGGGAATAGAGAAACTTGGCTTCCCTAATTCTCCTAGAGAAAGCTAGTTTTGGTGATTTTGCCCAGTAACCGGGTTTATTCTGGGACGTGAATGTGATCAGACAGTGCCCAATGTGGGAAGAAAGAAAGGAGTGCAGACAGAAAACAAAGACAGAGGGAAAAAGCCAACGTGAAGGTAGATTTAAAAAAGACAGATGACATGCAGAAAAAGAAAAATATAAAGAAGGATGAAAAGAGGTATGGAGGAAATGGCTCAAAGTGTGGATGAGTACTGGCTTAAGAGAGATTTGGATGAAGGCTTCTCTTCCTTATCTGCTCTATCTCCTCCGGTTGTTCACTGCAGGACCCTCTCCGTCCCTCCCTCCCTCCATCTGTCAGACAGACAGCAGTTGGCCAGCTCCCTCTGTTGTTGTTCACTCTATCCAGAGTCTCCCTGATTCAACCCAAGCCCTCAGTTTCTCCATCTCCTTCCAAATATGCTTTTATATCTCACGTCTCTCCTCTCCCCCGACCCCCGTCATCAGTCTGGAAGAACTCTCAGTTCTCTGCAATTTAATTGGGCGGACAGAAAGTTGAAAAGGTCCTCCAGGCAGGTTACATGAGAACATCCGTGACATCAGCGTGCAGTCAGAGCTCATTTGGCCTGTTGCATTCATTGTTGGCTGATGTGTTTGTGTTGGAACTGCCATAGATTAGAAATGTATCATACTTAGAAGACCCCGAGTGAGTTAGAGTGGTACATTAGGCCGGTGGTGACCATTTATCAGAACCTGGCCACTCATTATTTTCCACTTCTAGTATAATTTATGATACATGTTGTTGTGTGACTGATTGCTCAGAACCTGATGCAGTTTAATTCAACATCTTTGACTGGATTCCAGACAGGTTTGCACTCTTCTTCTACTTTCAATAATTCTACCTCTACATGGGCATGAAACTTGAAGTGACATTACTGACCAGAATCCAGAGTCCATATATGAGAAACATGAGGCTTGTGTAGGGTAGGGTCCGTCTTACCATGCTAACTCTGAGAGACGAGGCAGTCCAAGTAACTTCAAAACAGTGCTGATTTATTCAAAGGATCACAGGTAAAATTAACATTACACGCTCAAGTGTCTTGCACCTCCAACATGCACGCAGGCAGATGTAAGATGAAAGACCCTGAACCCACCAGGCCTATACATTATATCCCCTCGGTTGGGCTAGCCCCATACTACACAGAAACGTCAACCGAGACGTCTCTCTTACCAGCCTTGCAGCTGGCCATAGCAGTAGTCAAAACATGAAGCAAATCAATGTGTGTGTGTCTGTTGGTTAAGTGGTGTGTAGCTAAAAACATTCTCACACGACCTCTAGTACATGTCGTGACTTAAACATAAGAACATATTATGGCTAAGGCTACAGTTATACACGTCATAATAATAATATTAAACACCCTGTCTGCTGACAGTCATCAACTCTTCTCTCTAGTTATCCTTGACCAGATGTACCCTGTAGAAACTCATAAGCATGACTAAGCATTTAACAGTCTAACTAGACATCCTATCTCCACTAAACATTTCTAATACATAAAGTATCTATCCAATTTCTATCTGACTAAAAATACCTAACACTTGGAACAAAACACTGACTAGAATCTGTGAATGGTGATCGCAGGCAATTGCTCAGTCCAGCAACGAGGTGGAAACTGAGAGAGGAATGTGGAACATGAGTGCTGTGAGAGACGCAGACGAGTAACACTGGGCACTTTTTTGATGACAGTTCAGCAAACTGTGAGCATGGGATAGAGACCTAAGTACAGAATACTTGGTTAATGTATTGGAGCCTATTGAGCATTGGTGCAGTCAAGTCACTAAGCCTCGAGTCCGAATCAAGTCTTGAGTCCCCAGTGTTTTAGTCCAAGTCGAATCTAAGTTGAGTCTAAGTCAGGCCCCTATTACCTGAGTCCAAGTCATCAAGATCTACATTAAATGCATCATTTCTTGGTTTGCAAGCATCAAATCTTGAGATTCTACATTGTCTAACGTGTATTGTATCACCATATTGATTGATAAACAAAAATCATTTATAGAAAGGCAGAATGTACTGTTAAATGGAAGTACGCCAGGTAGAGCATGGTGTGGCTGAACAGGTTTTAATATCAGTATCTTAGCCAAACTATTATGGCCTGTTGCAAAAAAAAGTCCTCATCACCAACTTCCAACTCTGAACGCAGTCAATCCTCGGGTCCAAGTCCACATCATCAGTGCTCAAGTGCAAATCGTGAGCATGGTAAAGCTGGAAACAGGTCAGAGAGGGAAGCAGAAGTACATCAAAATAAATGCCTTAAAGTGGAAATGCATGGATTTGTGACATGTTGAAGTAAAAAAATATAGATTATAGGATCTTTCTTAAAAAGGTATTTATTTATTCATTCATTCATGAGGTATGTTAAGGTATGTTGTTAATGTTAATTCATCCATACCAAAGGCATGCCACAAAGTGGTAGCTTGCCACAGCACCGCAGTGCACATTTAAATAAAGATTTCTATCATTCTCTTTATTAAAATACACAAATCTTAGCTTATTGATTTTATCTTGTTTCCTAATTCCAGGTTCACTGGTCGGATGTAGGTGGGATGGAGGAGGTGAAGCTGAAACTGAAGCAGGCTGTTGAGTGGCCTCTGAGGCACCCCGAGGCCTTCACCCGCATGGGGATCCAACCACCTAAAGGAGTGCTGCTCTACGGGCCCCCAGGCTGCTCCAAGACCATGATAGCCAAGGCTCTGGCCAATGAAAGTGGCCTCAACTTTCTGGCTATTAAAGTAAGTTTTCATAATTCAGTCATACTTCCGCTTATTTTATATATA